TCACCGCAACCTCCACCTCCTGGGTTCAGGCAATTCTCCTGCCTCAGCCTCCTGAGTAGCTGGGATTACAGGCACGCGCCACCATGCCCAGCTAATTTTTTGTATTTTTAGTAGAGACGGGGTTTCACCATGTTGACCAGGATGGTCTCGATCTCTTGACCTCGTGATCCACCCGCCTCGGCCTCCTGAGTGCTGGGATCACAGGCTTGAGCCACCGCGCCCGGCCCACCTCAGATTATTTTTTAATGAGAAAGCCTCTTGCTCTGTTGCCTGGGCCGGAGAACAGTGGCGTGCTGGCAGCTCACAGCAGCCTCGACCTCCTGGGCTCAAGCGATCCTCCCACCTTAGTCCCAGCCCCCTGTGACTATAGGCAAGCACCACCACAGCTGGCTAATTTATTTTGTATTTTTTTGTAGCAAGGGGGATCTCGCTTTGTTGCCCAGGCTGGTCTCTCACTCCTGGCCTCAAGCGATCCCCCTGCCTACCAAAGTGCTGGGATTACAGGCATGAGCCACTATGCCATCCCCTCTCAGATTCTTGATGAGACAAATACTTAGTGAGCGCATAATGTGCATTCCCTCCTGGCACATGCCACAGCAGTCCTCTGAAGGGAGAGTCACTCTGCCCATTTTACAGATGAGGAAACTGAGGCCCCAAGAGTTAAAGCAGTTTGCCCAAAGGGTACACAACCAATAAGGGATCTACCCAAGGATTCAAACCAAGTCGGAGGGACCCACAAGCCCAAACTCCTGGTCTTCTATTCTCCTTGAAATTTAAAATCTTCATTCCTTTCCCTTGTGTTTTTCTGTCCTCATCTGTGATGAGATGTGAGTCATTAGCCTTAAGTTCATGGCTCGCATCTGCATTTGATAAGAACTATACCTCCTTGACCCCAACACTCCCCACAAACCTGAGTTTGAGGCGCAGAACATGCACTCAAGAATGTTAGTCTCAGCTCTGCTGCTCACCTGCTGTGTGACCTTGGGCAAATCACTTCATCTCACTGTATTATGTGGGAGCCTCAGCTTCCACATCTGTAAAATGGGGAGAATAAAACCCATGTCATACGGTTGTTGGAAGATTTTTTTTTTTTTTTGAGACAGAGTCTCACTCTGTCACCCTGGCTGGAGTGTAGTGGCACAATTACGGTGAGCTAAACGTAACCTCCCGGGTTCGAGTGATTTGTGTCTCAGCCGCCAGAGTAGCTGGGACTACAGGCACGCGCCACCACACCCAGCTAATTTTTGTATTTTCAGTAGAGATGGGGTTTCACCATGTTGGCCAGGCTGGCCTCGAACTCCTGACCTCAAGTGATCTGCCTGCCTTGGCCTCCCAAAGTGCTGAGATTACAGGCGTGAGCCACCGAGCCCGGCCTGTTTTTGGAAGAATTTAGAGATACATAAACATCTGAGTGCTCTGGGGCTATTGTAATTCCCCGTATCTGGGCCCCACTAAAGATCCCCACATCTCCACCCTGTCGTCTCCAGAGTTCTTTGCTTTGGAACATTCAGAACTCAGGGTTCCTCCTTTTACTTTCCCTCTTCTCTTCACCTGGCAAACTCTTATGTAAACTTCAAAACCCAGAACAGCTGTCACCGATTTTGTGATGCCGTCACAGATTGTACTCAGAAAATTGTAGCAGCAGCAGTATACCTCCTCAGGACACCTCCTTGACACTTCATTCCTTTTTCTGTCATAATGGTTACGCTGTTATGTCCTTATCTGTTTTCATGTCATTCCCTTCTGTTGCCACTAGCTTTTTGAAGGCCAGAGATGAACATCATTCATCCTTAGACACCTCAATGTCTGGCACCCAGTAGGCACTCAAAAAGGCTTGCTTACTGAAGGTATCAGGTGAGGGTATTTTTGAGTCTTTCCCTGTCCAAGGCTGAGCTATTCCTGTCCTGGAAGTGTTCGATGGCTTTTAGCTAACTTCCCACGAGACAGCCCTGGCCGAGCCTGCCTCTCCCTCATCTTGTAGCCTCTTCAAGGTCTCTTTAGTGTCTTCCTGTTGCCCTCATTTTCTTACTAGAAATTGCCTTTAAAAATGCTCCCCTCTGCCCCCAGCTAGTTATAGAAATGACATGACTGAATATTTTTGTGTCCTTGGAGCAAAAATGATATACAGGACCATAAAGGAAAATATTGATCTGGCCACATAAAAATGAAAACGTCTATATGGCAAGAACAAATGCAAAAACCAAATAAAATACAAACATGTTTTCTATTATTTAGAGACAGGGTCGTCTCTGTCATCCAGGCTGGAGTGCAATGGTATGATCGTAACTCACTGCGGCCTCAAATTCTTGGGCTCAAGTGATCTTCCTGTCTCAACCTCCTGCATAGCTGGGACTACAGGCACACCCCACTGCACCTGTAATTTTTATTTTTATTTTCATATAGATAGGGTCTTGCTATGTTTCCCAGGCTGGTCTTGAATTCCTGGCCTCAAGTGATGCTCCTGCCTTGGCCTCCTAACATGCTGGGATTACAGACATCAGCACCTGGCCCCTCCCCTCCCCTCCCTTCCCTTCCCCTCCCTCACCTCCCCTCCCTCCCTTCCCCTCCCTCCC